GGTCCTCATCGCTGGCTCTGACGGCCGCCGTCCTCGGCGCGTCCTGCGTTCGCGCAGAAGACGAAGAGAACCAGCCGCCGGGTAGCGCGGAGAAGAAGAAGAAGAAGCGGGCGCGGATCATGAGCGCACTGGGCTCTGACATCACCGTCGTCGATGCTGAGGACCTACTCGCGCAGCTCGCCGCCGCTCCGTCTTCTACCACCACCACTCCTGCGGTCGAGCAGCCTTCTACCACCACCACTCCTGCGGTCGACAGTCCACTGCTGCAGGTGATGGGCAACACTCTCGCCCATGAGGGCGTCCTGCCCTACATGCTTGACATCCTGCCAAACTACGCGCTTGCACACTTAGCGCCGCTCGGCTGGGTCTCTGCCGCACCTACGAACCTGTACGTTACTTTCAACGGCGGGCAGGCGCTGGCAGCGTACTTCGGGTCGTGGGCGGCGCCCGGGGCTCCAAACTCGGTCGGTGGTGACAATGTCGTCTTCGCGGTGAGCGGCGTGGGCGAATTCGCAGGCCAATTCCCGCAGGAATTTCCTACTTCGACTTCGACGCATACCTACGAAGGCGATCTTATTCCGCAACCTGTGACGGTCAACGAGTTTGCGGCGGCATTCTTGCCTCTGTCGCTCATCACCGTGCCTCCTCAACCTCCCTCCGCGCTGGTCATTGCCCTCGGCGACCGCCCTCACACCTTCTTCGAGAGTGGAACGTTCGTGCAAGTTACGCAGCACGCTGCTATATTATTGAACGGCAACGGTGCCAACGTTATTTTCGCGACCCTCGACACCCATCCTCACTCTCTTGCTTACTTCGATCAAGATGGCCATGCGTCGATGAGCGACGTCCACTTGAACCCGGGCGCGTACCACAACGGATCTTCTGCGGGTGCCGCCTTTGCAGCGGCCTTGATGGGGAATGGTGGCCTGCTCCCGACCTCCGTTCCCATCATCATCGTTCCACTCGGCCTCCAAGCGAACCATGCGGCTCCGAACGTCGCAAACCAACTTCACTCCGCGCTTGGGAATGACGTTATCATTGCGCCGAGCATCGGCCATACCACCTCCATGAGCTACGTTGCTGGATCGACAATTGCGACCATGGCTGGTTCCTTCGCTCACTCCATTGCTGTCGGACACGGCGTCCCCGGGCCCATCGCTGCTGCGGCCTCGGCCGCCGCCGAGGCGGGCCTCCATGGCACCACCCCCATCAGCCTTGCTTCCACGTCGGCCGCGGCGTCTGTCGCGGGCGCCGCAGGGGGCACCGCGTCCGTCGCCGCGGGCTACGGCTTCAATGGTCCGAACGGCGCGAACGCGTCTGCTGCGGGCCACGCGTCCATCGCCGCGGGCTACGGGTTCGGCGGCGCGAACGGCGCGAACGCGTCTGCTGCGGGCCACGCGACCGTCGCCGCGGGCTACGGGTTCGGCGGCGCGAACCAGATGAGCGCGTCTGTCGCGGGCGCCATAGGGGGCCCCGCGTCCATCGCCGCGGGCTACGGCTTCAACGGCCCGAACGGCGCGAACGCGTCTGCTGCGGCGTCTTTGGGGGGCCACGCGTCCGTCGCCGCGGGCTACGGGTTCGGCGGCGCGAACCAGATGAACGCGTCTGTCGCGGGCGCCGCAGGGGGTGCCGCGGCCGTCGCCGCGGGCTACGGGTTCGGCGGCGCGAACCAGATGAACGCGTCTGCCGCGGGCCGCGCGTCCGTCGCCGCGGGCTACGGGTTCAACGGCCCGAACGGCGCGGACCCGGCCGCCGCAGCCCGCGCAATGCGCGGCAAACCGCGGAAGTTCGTCAAGTGCGGCCACTGCGGGCACAAGAAGCACCAGAAGACGAGCACCTGCCGTTACCGCCACGTGACATGCAAAAAAGCCAACAAGCTCATCGCCCGTGAGCGCGCCGAGCGCGCGGCCAACCGCAACGACACGGACGACGACGACGACGACGACGATCTAGTCGTCGCCCCCCCGCCCGAGTCCGACGCCGCGGGCCGCTCGGGCGGCCCCCGCCCCCCACCGCCGCCGCCGCCGCCGCCGGGCGCCGCCTCCGCGTCGGGGAAGCTCGGCGGCGCCGGCAACCTCGCCGGATGGCTCATCCGGAGCCACTAGAGCGCACTGCGAACGAGCGCCGCGAACCACCGCGCCCCTCCCCCCCCGCTCGCCACCGCGCCGCGCTAACAGACCACAAGGGTAGCAAGTGTAAAAAAAAACGCAAGTTTTTTTTTTAACCGCTTCGGACGTGCTCATGCCCAAGGTCTAATCTCGGAGCCGCCCCCTAGTCGCCCGCGACCCCCCGGGCCGCGGACGAGGTCGAGGTCGAGGTCGCCGGTCCGCCGCCCGCGACCCCGCGGAAGAGGTCGTCGGCCACAACCTGGCCGTCCGCTCGGCGCCGCCTAGTAGTCGCTTACGACCTCGCGGAGCAGTTCGCTGGCCGTCCGCCGCTTCTCCGCGACGGCCCGCGCCGTCGGGTCCGGGTTGCCGCCCCCTAGTCGCCCGCGACCCCCCGGGCCGCGGACGAGGTCGAGGTCGAGGTCGCCGGTCCGCCGCCCGCGACCCCGCGGAAGAGGTCGTCGGCCACAACCTGGCCGTCCGCTCGGCGCCGCCTAGTAGTCGCTTACGACCTCGCGGAACAGTTCGCTGGCCGTCCGCCGCTTCTCCGCGACGGCCCGCGCCGTCGGGTCCGGGTTGCGGAAGCCGCCGGGCGCGCGGAAGGGCTGGTGGCGCGCGAGCGCGCGGACGACGGCGCCGAGCGTCTTCGGCGACTCGAGCGTGTAGAGGCTCGCGTCGCTCCAGAGGGCCCCGTCGGGCCCGAGGAGTAGCGCGTTGCGCCGCGCCTCGAGCGCGCGGACGTGGGCCGCGGCGTCGCGCGCGGCGCGCTTCGCCGCGCGCCACGCGGCGCGCGCCGGCGGCGCCTGCAACTTCTTGCGCGCGGCGCTCTTGCGCTTCGCGAGCTTGTCCTTGAGCGCGGACTTGACGTCGCCGGGCTTCGCGGGCGCCGCGGACGCGCGGCGGCGCACGGCCGACGACCGGCGCCGGCCCGGCGCGGCGGCGCCGGGCGCGTGGGCCGCCGGCGCGAGCGAGGCCTCGCGCGCGGCCGCGGCCGCGGCCTGGGCCCGCGCGGCCTCGAGCGGCGCGCCGCCGCGCGCCGCGGCCGCGAAGGCCTCCGGCGGCAGGGCGCGCCGCTGCCGCGGGTCGTCGTGGGCGAGCCGCAGGTGCTTGAGCCACTCGAGCGCGAGGAGCACGAGGCCGAGGACCTCCGGGTCGAGCGCGGGCCCTGACACGCGGACCGCGGCGCCCGCGGGGAGGCCGACGACGAGCGCGGGCCCCGCGGGCGCCTCGGCGTCGACGAGCTTGGCCACGTGGCCGAAGCCCTCGACGTCGAGGGCCGAGCCGACGTCGCGCGCGAGGCCCGCGATCAACGCGCGCTCGCGGCGGTTCGCGGGCGCGTCGGGCGCGGACCCCGCGGGGTTCGCGCGCGCCGCGAGCGCCGCGAGGGGCGTCGCCGGCGGCTCGTCGACGGACGCGCGCCGGCTCACGCCCACGGGCGGCGCCATGGCCGCCGTGCGCTGCGTCGGCGGCGGCGGCGCGACGCGGTCCGCGGCGCCGGGCCGCCGGGGCTTCCTCGGCTTCCGCGCCGCGGGCGCGGACGCCGGCCGCCGCGGCGGCGCGGTAACGACGGCGCGCGCGACGATGGGCACGTCGTCGCCCGGGTCCTCCCGGGACGCGGGCTCGTCGAGCACGTAGGCCGGGTCGCCGCGGAAGCCCCGGTCGCGCGCGGACGCGGGCCGCCAGTCGACCTGCTCGAGGTGGCTCCGCCGCGGCGACAACACTACCGAGTCGTCGTCGGAGTAGACGAGGTCGTCGCGGCTCCCGGCCGACGCGCCCGAGTCCCAGGGCGCCTCCTCTTCCGGCGCGGCCGCGCGCGCGTCGTTGCCCGCCGCGGCCGCGCCGAGCGTCGGGATGGACACCATGAGCTTGCGCACCGTCGTCGGCCGGGGCTCGGGCGCGCCGGGCTCGCGGGGCTCCTCGCGGGCCGGCGCGGGCACGAACTGGCGCACGAGGACCGCCGCGCCGATCTCCGACGGCATGGGCGGCTCGGGCGCGCGCCGCGCCGCGGGCGCGGACTGGGGCCGCCGCGGCTTGTTCGGCTGGAGCGTGGGCATCTCGACGGAGATGACCTTGGCGTCGCCGATGCGGTGCGGCGCGCCGCCCGTCGCCCGCTCGAAGTTCTTCCGCAGCGGCGCGGCGGACTTGGGCCGCTTCCGCGCGACCTTCTCGCGGATGTCCAACGTCGACACCTTGACGGGCTTCTGGGGGAGCGTCGCCTCCTGCCGGGGCCAGGCGCCGGAGACGGCGAGCTCGCGGCTCTGCCGCGAGTCGCCGTCGCCGTCGCGCGCGGTCGGCCGGGCCTTGGGCGGCTCGTCGTCGGGCTCGATGCCCGCGGCGAGGCGATCGAGGGCGTCTAGAGCCTTCTCGAGGGCGGCGTCGATGTCGAGGCTCACGGCCGACGCCGCGCGCGCCTTGCTCTGCTCCCAGCCCGCGGCCGCGCGGCCGTTCGTGACGGTCATGTCGAGCGGCCGCTTCACGTCGGTCTCGCGCTGGAAGGACCCGACGAGCGGCCGCTCGCCGCTGGACTTGGGCGCGCCGGCGGACTTGGGCCGCGGGCCGAGCCGCGGGCTCCGCCGCGGCGACACCTCGGACCGGGCCGCGGCGCTCTTGGGCCGCGCCGGCGTCGGCGCCTCGTCGCGCCGGGGCGTGTGGCCGGCGATGTTGAGGCCGAGGACGCGCACGTCCTGGGCCATGGCGCCGGGATGGCGGTAGGTCTCCCGCGGCGGCGGGCGGTAGAGCATGGCTAGCGGGGCAGCACCGGTGGCACCATCTTCTTGCCCTTTGATCGATCGGTTAGCTAGAGGTGCAACCAACGCGGTAAGATCATCTCATACGCGCGAGTTTGCCTCCCACACAGCGCTGGTCGCGGGCAGCCCCTCTCCCCCTACGACGCAGCTCAAAGCCCGCCGCGCGCCACCCGCTCGCCGCCGCCCGCGTCGCCGACCGCCCTCCGCGAGCATGGCGGGCCTCAAGGCGAAGATGCACGACCTGGAGGACAAGCAGAACAATTTCAGCGAATCCATGCGCGAGATGCAGGGCGCGCCGCCGGCGTCGGTCCGTCGCGGACAAATTGGCCCCATTGCGACGCATTGGACTCAACAGTGACCTTCCACAGGCGACGTGAAGCAGCTCTGGCGCTGCGACGAGGAGTCGAAAGAGCTCGCGCGGTCGCTCGTCCGCGAGGCGGTCGAGAAGATGCAGGCCGAGTTCAAGGAGAGAGACGAGGAGATGGACCACAAATTCAACCTGCAGGTCGCGGAGAACAAGCGGCTGCAGGGCCACATCGGCGAGCTCAAGAAGGAGAACAAGCACTTGTGCCGGACCCGCGTCCCTCGAGGCCCCGCCGCGGCGGCGCCGCCTCGCGCTTTCGGACGAGGCGCCGTCGCTCGTCGGGCGCTCGACGCGGAGCAGACGACGCGCGTCCATGGACGTCGCCTCGAACTCGTGCGTCCCAGGTACTCGCAGGTCGTCGCGCTCCAGTCCCGCGTGAAAATGCTGGAGGAGGAGATCGTCGGCGACTGAGGGTCGCGCGGTCCGTGGAGGGGGGGAGAACGCCCCCGTCTCGACTATCCGCCCGTAACTGGGACTCGTCCTTAGATTCAGAAGTACCTCTGTCGCCGCTGCGCGCCGCCGGGCCGCTTGTGGTTCGGTCTCTGCTGTTTCTTCGCTTTCGTCTTTTTCCGTTGGGGCTCGGGCGCCGGCGGCGGCGCGGGCACGGCGGGCACGGCGGGCACGGCGGGCGTGCGGTCGATGGTCATGCCCTCGTCGCGCGGCGGAGGCTGCGCCGGGCCGTCGTCGTCGGAGTCGTCCTCCGACTCCGAGTAGAAGACGTCGGCGGCCGAGCGCTTCGCGGGCGGGAGCAGCACCGCGGGCGCGCCGGCGTCGTCGTCGCAGTCCATCGCCGCGGGCCTCTCCGCCGGCGCGACGGCCTCGCCGAGGTCGTCGTCGTCGTCGTCGTCGAAGGCCGCGGCGGCCGCGGCGGCGACGCGCGGCGGCGCCGCGGCGGCCGGCGCGGCGGCGCGCGGCAACGACCGGCGCAGGCGCGCCGCGGTTTCTTTCGCGAGCGCGAGCACGCGCGCGAGGCACGCGAGCCACGCGGCGGACAGAGCGACGAAGAAGCCGCGCGCGAGCACCTCGCGCGTGAGCTTCGCCGCCTTCAGGGCGACCTCCGCGAGGGCGTCGCAGCGGGCCGCGGCGGCGGCGGCGTCGCCGCCGTCGGCGGCGGCGGCGGGCGCGAGCCTCGCGGCGCGCTTGCAGACCATCTCCGAGAGCTGGAAGTGTTTGGAGGCGCGGTGCTGCTGCCGGTTCTTCTCCAAGAGCGTGCGGAGGAAGGCGACCTCTTTGTCCAACTCCGTGGCCATCCTTTCGAGGCGCGCGGCGCGCGCGCGTCGGCGCGCACGGGGCCCGCAGCTCTGCAACAGGGGCAAATGTGCAGTGAAAGTGAATCGCCAGACCTTTTGCCTCAGCCACACCTCCATCTCGTCGCACTTCGTCGCCTTCGCCGCGCCGGGCGCCGACGTGTCCGGTCGTCCGAGGGCTTCGCCGCGTCGCGCCGCGTGCCGACGACTCGCCTGCGCCGCGCCGCCCGCTCCGCGAGCTCGCGCCGACCATGCAGACGCCGTCGATGAGCAAAGAGGAGCAGGAGCGCCTCGGCGTCGACATCTCGCTGTTCCAGGAGGGCATCATCAAGCCCTTCAAGGAGCACGTCATCCTCGACAAAGAGCTCTACGCCAAGAACCAGAAGAAGCAGACGCGGTACACCGAGGAGGCGCTCCTGAGCGCGGGCACGTGCGTCTACAACCACGACTGCGCCGTCGAGGTCATCCACAAGGGCGACACGAAGCCGCTCCTCGCCGCGCGCGACGACGCCGCGCGGTCCGCGCGGTCCGAGGCCGCGCTCGCCGCCGCGGGGCCCGGCGACAGGGCGCTCCGCCGCGTCGAGGCGAAGAAGCGCACGGGCGCGCACTTCCTCGCGTCGAAGAAGCCCCACGAGGCGCTGCTGACCTTCGACGACGCCCTCGCCGCCCTCGGCGACGTGCCCGCGGCCCACGAGGGGCGCGCGGCCCTCGAGGCGTCCGTGCTGCTCCAGTCGTCGATGGCCGCGCTCCTGCTCGGCCAGGCGCGGCGGTCGCGCGACGACGCGACGGCCTGCCTCGCGCTCGTCGACGACGAGAAGACGCGGCAGCTCGCCCTCTTCCGCCGGGGCTGCGCGCGGACGATCCTCAAGGACTTTGCGGCCGCGGACGACGACCTCGCGGACGCGGGCGACGCAGAGGCCGTCCACGCGGCGCGGCGCAAGCTCCGGACCAAGGCCGCGGCCGCGGGCGTCGCCCTGGCGCGGCCCGCGCCGCCCGCGGCGAAGCCCAAGCCCAAGCCCGCGCCGCCCGCGCCGCCCGCGCCGCGCGCGCGCGCGCGGGCCCGCCCCGACGACGCGCCCGCGCCGCCCGCGCCGCCCGCCGTCGAGGAGGACGTCGAGGACGTGCCGCGGCTCGGCGCCGACGACGGCGGCGACGTCGAGGACGTCGCGCTGGACGAGTGGCGCGGCGCGACGGACGCGGACCGCGAGGCGTCGTGGCGCGACGGCGAGAAGTTCAGCCACGAGCAGCCCGTGGACTGGTCGTCGGTGACGCTGCCCAAGGGCTTCCCGAACCCCAGCGAGGTGAGCCCCATCTCCGTCGTCGTGCTGACGAACGCGGGCTTCGAGGAGAAGCACGCGCTCGTCGCGCTCCGCGTCTGCCGCAACGAGCTCACCAAGGCCTGCGACTGGCTCTTCAAGCACAAGTACGCCGGGGACCTCGACCAGGTCGTCCGCGCCTTCGACAAGGGCGACTACGACGACGAGCGGTGGAACGAGGAGCAGTTCCACGCGCCCAAGGACGCGTGGGTCGACGAGCCGGGCCTGCCCAGGGCGGGCGACCGCGTCCCGGGCAAGGGCGTCCAGCACCCCCACGACTACGACGCGGACAAGAAGGGCGTCGCGCTCTAGGGCGGGACGCGCGGTTTTTTTTAAGGCCAGGAGCGCCGCGGACGGCGTTTTGCGGCATCTTGAAGTGCAAGTTGCCGCCGAGCTTGGCAATGGCTCTCCCAGCGCTCGACGGCGACGGCGATGGCGAGCACGAGAGCAGCATGTCTCTGCCTGCGCCAGCGCTCGACGGCGGCAACAACGATGAGCCCGCGAACCGCCGCGGCCGCTGGCACGGGCTCGTCTACGTCCCGGTGCCGCGGAGTCGGCGCTTCGTCGGCGTCGCCGGGCGCGCCTGGCGCGGCACGCCCCGCGGCGAGCTCTGCCGCGACGCCCACCTGTCGCTGTCGCGGCCCTTCGGCCTCCTGCGCCACGAGGTCGAGCCGTTCCTCGCGCGGCTGCGGTCCGCGCTCGCGGCGCGGCGCTGCGCGCCGTTCGTCGCGGTCGTCGACGGCGGGGCGGCGCTCGAGCTCGACAGCGAGGACGGCGCGCGCCGCTTCGAGGCGCTGCGCGTCGACGCGTCGCCGGCGCTCCACGCGCTCGTCGACGCCGTCGACGACGCGCTCGTCGCCTTCGGGCGGCCCGCGTTCTTCGACGAGCGGCGCTTCCACGTCTCCGTCGCGACCGCGGCCGGCCGATCCCGGTCGCGGTCGCGGTCGCGCGACGGCGACGACGACTTCGACTCCGACGACTCGGGCGACTCCGCGGACGACGGCGACGACCGCGTCTACGTCGACGTCGACGCGGTCGTGTGCAAGTACGGCCACAAGCACGTCGAGATCGCGCTGCCGGGGTAAACTTGCTTAGAGCTTCAGCGGGCCGGGCTTCTTCTCGCGCGCCTTGTCGACCTTCCGGCAGACGCGCTTGTGCTGGGGCCAGTCCTTCTTCTGGCAGGCCAGGGAGCAGTACTCGACCTCGCGGCAGCGGCCGCACGCGAGCAGCTTGCCGGCCTTGGCCACTTGGACCTCGCAGGTGGCGCACTTGCCCGTGCTCGGCATCGGCTTCGTGAGCGCGACGACGGCGTCGAGGCAGCGGCACGGGATCGCCGCGGCGAGGTAGAGCCCGCAGCCGCGGTCCGTCCGCGTCTTCCAGAGGCAGCGCTCGACCTCCGCGGACATGCGCTCCGTCGCCACGCGCTTGCCCTTCTCGGCGAACTCGCGCACGAAGACGCCCGTGCGGATGAATATGCGCGCCGTGACGAACTCCTCGTCGATGACCGCGTCGACGGCGCACGCGAACGCGATCTTCCACGAGTCGGAAGCGATCGTGCGGCCGTGCTCGCGCTTCGACCAGAAATTCACGAGCGCGCCGAATTCCGCGGCGGCGATGTCGTCGCGCGTGTAGTCCGAGTCGGGCGCCTGAACCCGGCGGATGGCGTCGTTGCTCGCGGCGATGCTTGTGTTCAGCGACTGGATCATCGCCTGGATGAAGCGCATGTCAGGTTTGGGCCCGCCGTGCCGGCAGTCCCGCGCGGGGCCGACGTCCGACGGCAGCATTTCTTTGTGTTCGACGTACTAGGGCGTGAACTGCGGGCGCTGCAGGCTGCGAGCGTCGAAGGCGACCTCGCACTGCGGACGCGGATCGATCCGGGACCCGAATCCTTGTGGTAAATTGCAGTGATCGAGCAGAAATATCATCATAGCGCCTCGGGCTGCTGATTCCGCGCTCGGCTCGAGGCACAAGAGGCTCTGCATAACATCGCGCCCCTGTAGCCTCGAGAACCCATCGCGGCGCGCCGCTAGGCGTCGCGGGAACCCCGCGCCGCGGCCGCCATGCTCATGGAGCCGTCGACGGTCGTGCTGAAGGACGCCGCCGTGCCCGCGGCGGCCGAAAGCGGCGGCGCGGCGCCGAACCTGTGCCTCGCCTTCGCCGTGGCGGCGAGCCCCGGCGGCGGCGCCGAGGCGGCGCCCCGCGCGCCGTCGCCGGCCGGCGGCGGCGCGGCGCCCCCCCGCGAAACGTCGCCCGCCCCGGGAACCGGCGAGGCCGCGCGCGCGCCGTCGCCCGCCGGGACCGGCGGCGGCTCCGCGGCGCCGAGCGACGCCGGGGGCGCGGACAGCGACGACGAGTGCGTGGAGACGACGCGGTTCCGCGGCACGCGGTTCCAGATCGACGCGCGGACCTGGGCGGGCGACGCCGCGCTCGCCGCGGCCGTCGACGAGGCCGACGGCCGCCTCGGCCGCCTGCCCGAGACGGCGCTCGTCTACACGACGCCGTCGGGCGGCGTGGACCGGAAGAAGACGCGGCGCTGGCAGGACTTCGTCGCCGCCGAGGCGCAGCAGCTGCGGCGCTTCGAGGGCGCGCCGGACCGCGAGGAGCCGCCGCCGAAGCGGCGGTCGCTGCCGCCGCGATACGAGGACGACTTCGTCATGACGCCGCTGCGGCCCAAGGCGCGGCGTGTGTCGCGGCCCCCGGCGGCGCCGGCGCCCCGGCCGGCGCCCCGGGACCCGAACGCGCCGCCCGCGCCGCGGCCGCGGCCCAACTGGGCCCACGTCCACGACGACCCCCTCGCGGACGAGTCGCGGCGGTCCGCGCCCGAGTACGACGGCGAGGGCCGGCTCCGGGCCGCGCGCGAGGTCCGCGAGCTCGTCAAGTGCGAGTCCCAGACGCTGAACCTGCGCCAGGTGCGCGCGGCCCTCGCGACGGGGCCGGCGACGACCCAGGTGGACCACGGCAGGCTCGGGGGCATGCTCGCGGGCCGCATCGGCGAGAACCGGGGCAGCAAACGAGAGCGAAATTCCCAACTTCAAAGGCTCCTTTCTCGGCCGTTTTCCACTCGTTTCGGCTGATTTTTGGACGAGCGATCATCTCTCGGAACGGTCTCGACGCGTGGGCGCTTTTTCCGGAACGCGCGCGCGCGGCACACTCACGTTGAAGCGACGTTGAATCACTCTTTTGCTGCCCAGGCGAGAACGAGTACCTCACACAGTACGCGACGGACAACCGCTCCAAGTGCAAGCTCATCTCCTGCAAGAAGGCCATCCTCCTCGGCGAGCTCCGCATCGGCAAGATCCCGCCACGAGTCAACAACGAGAAGGCGAACAAGCGCGTCCACTGGCACGACCCCGCGCGGACGTCGACCGCCGCTTCGGGACGTCCCGACCACACTTTGCAACGCTCGAGCTCGGTCGACGTCGATGTGGCTGATGTTTGGACGCATCGATGGCGCTCGTCGAGGTCTCGAAGCGCGGCCGAAGAGGCCGATTCGATGACGCCCACATTGAAGTCGGGTGGAAGATTTGATGTCCGCGCAGGTACCACCCGGACTGCATCTTCGCGTCCTTCGACAAGGTCTCGAAGCGTTACAAGCCGCGCCGCATCTTCGACCCGACTTCAATATCCGAGATCTTCGGCTCCGCGTCGAGCACTCGACGAGAGCCATCGACGCGTCCAAAAATCGGCCGAAGCGACTTCGATGCGACCGAGCTCGAGAGGTTCGACGTTCGGTCGGGACGACCCGAGGGTGCTTTCGGCGCAGGCACGAAGGTCGTCCTCAAGCCCAGCGACCTCGCGGGCTTCCGGGCGCTCCACACGGCGGACCGCCTCTACCTCAAGTCCCTCATCGACGAGCACAAGACGAAGCGGATCCGCGAGGGCTGGCCGTCGCGCGCGGCGCTCGACGGCGCGGACGGCCCGCCCGCGGGGCTGCTGGCCCTCGACGGCCGCGACCCCCACTGCACGAAGCGCGACCCGCGGCCCGCGATGATGAAGAAGGCCGACGGGCCGGCGGCCGGCGACGGCGCGGCCGCGGCCGCTGCCGCGGCCGCCGCGGCCGCCGCGGCTGCGGCCGGCGGCGCGGCCGCGGCCGGCGGCGCGATCGCGCCGGCCGACGGCGCGCCGCCGCCGGACGCGGACGACTCCGACGTCGACAACACGACCGTCGGCGGCGTCACGCTCGCGTCCGAGGGCCCGGACTTCGCCGCGCTCGTCGGCCGCCGCCGCGACGACGGCGACGCGCGCGACGCCGCCGGCGAGGTCGGCGACGGCCTCGCGACGCCCGCGGGCGGCCTCGACCTCCTCGCGTCGCTCTCGGCGGCCGAGCGGGACGCGCCGGCGAGCTCGTCGGACGACGACGGCAGCGTCGGCCCCGCGGACCTCGCGGCCGCGCGCGCGGTCGTCAACGCGTCGACCGACGGCGGCGACGACGCCGGCGACGACGACGGCGGCGACGGCGGCGACGGCGACGGCGGCGACGACGGCGCGGCGGACGCGGAGGCGCCGCCGCCGGCCGTGCTGCCGCCGGCGGCCGTGCGCCTCGCGGACGACACGCCGGACGCGCTGGCCGCGTGGTGCGACGCGACGTACGGCGGCGCCGTCGCGGCGGAGCTCGTCGCCGTCTTCGGCGACAACGGCGTGCGGCCGTCGGACGCGGCGGCGGCGGCGCCGGAGGAGCTCGAGGGCCTCGGCGTGTCCGAGTGGCACGCGCGGCGGCTCCCGGCGCTGCTCCGCCAGAGCCTCGGCGCGCCGCCGCCGCCGCCCTGGGGGCCGCCGTACTGGCCCGCGGGGCACCCGGCGGAGCCGGCGCCCTGGTGGGTGGGGCTGCGCGTCGCGCCGCCGAGCATGGCGCCCTCCTTCGCGGACGCGGACGCGGCGACCGGCGGCGGCGAGACGGCGCCGCCGGCGCTCGCCGCGGAGCCCGCGGCGCCGTCGCTCGCCGCGGAGCCCGCGGCGCCGTTGCTGCTCGCCGCGGCGCCCGCGGCGGCGCCGCCGCTCGTCGCCGCGGCGCCGTCGCCGCTCGTCGCCGCGGCGCCGTCGCCGCTCGCCGCGGAACCCGCCGCGGCGCCGCCGCCGCTCGCCGCGGAACCCGCCGCGGCGCCGCCGCTCGTCGCCGCGGCGCCGTTGCTGCTCGCCGCGGAACCCGCCGCGCCGCTGCCCGCCGCGGCGCCCGGCGCGCCCGCCGCGGCGCCCGGCGCCGCTCCGGCGCCGGAAGCGCCGGCGCCCGAAGCGGCGCCGGCGCCCGACCCGGGCGCGGCGCCCGCGCCGGCTTCGGTCGACGCCGAGGGGCGCGTGATGCCGCCGATCGCGGCCTACGTCACCCCGCCGGCCGGCGCGCCCCAGGTCCCGGGCTCCGCGCCTCTCGTGACGCCGGCGGGGCCCGCGCCCGCGGCGGCCTGGGGCGAGCTGCCGCCGTTCCCGCCGGGCTTCGGCGCCTACCCGCCGCCCCCGCCGCCCT